TCAGGAGCAGGATAAACAGCTAAATATTGACTTTGAGATAAAACATATCTATCAACACCAGGGACCAGAACTTGTGACACTGGCTCACACTGAGCTCAGCCCAAACCCAGGGGCATGGTTCTGAGATCATATGTCATGCTACTGGAGCAAAATAAAGCTTATAGGAACAGTGTAATTGCTGATATGGAGAAGAAGAGTATAAAAATAGACGACCGAAGTTGCAATAAAGCACATTAGTTATTTATGCATTCAGTACAAGCCCTATACAGGCAATGGAAGTTGGGAGGAGCGGGGGTGGAAACTATAGGGTAAGCACATCTTAGGATAGTCTACTCAAGCAATTGACTGAAATCTGGCAGTATGGCTCTCCCTGGATTCCAGAATCAATACCTCATTGCAATAAGAGGTTCTCACCTTCTAGACATATTGCTTGAGGCTAGCAAGTGCCTGTATTAGTTAACACTAAAGCCATAGCTTCTAAACACTTTAAATGGGAACAAACCAGCCCCTTTTAATGGCCATGCCATCATCTTCCTTTTCCTCTCCAAGTTTTTTTGCCTCCCCACCACTCCTTCCTATAGCTGGCACCATATTACCATGTTACCACATTTTGAACTACATCCAGAAAAGGATCTAGTTAAATAAGTGATTAATTTCATATATTTTTAATCAAAAGAGGGGTTAACTGGCAAAGGAACAAGCTGCTGGAGACAGAGCAAATAAGGGAAGTCAAAATGGCTTCTTTTGGGAACAGCAGTAGCGTAAAGTTTGTGATGCCAGGATGTTGTAACATGATCAAGAGTCCTTCCTCACTAGCAGGAGGGCAAACATTCTGTTTATAAATTTAAATCCAGCTCGCATGCATTCAGCAAACAACAGTATTATGCTTGAAATAATAGCAAGGTAGACTCGTTAGTCCTACCTGTCTGCTATGCTCCTCTGCCTTTCCATGACAGAAAGAAACATGTGCCTGCACCTCAGTAGTTCCAGTTCCTCCCAATACAAATGCACTGTCACTGAGAGGCTGATGCCAAAAGAGAGGAAGAGCAAATAGCTTGGGGAGGACAATGCTAAACCACTGCGGGAAGATTCGTAAGAGGCTTCATCTTCCCCCCAGCAACTGTATTTCTTACCCAGACTGGAATCTCCCATCATACTTAGTACTCTGCATTTCAGGACGCATTCCCACTGACCAAGACATTTAAGTTTAACTCCAGAACAAAATAAATAAAGAACAGCCAGCTACTGACTTGTCTATAATACTTGAAACAGACCAAAGTATGGGAAAAATACAATAGTCATTCAGGTATGGAGTTGCTTCTCTAGAAAAAGCACACTATAAATGAGACTGGGCAGCAGTACTGATAGGTTTGTCTGCTCCAACTCCATCATTGGGGTTTATGAAGCAACTCATTTACCTTTGGGACTCGGCCATATTCAGTAATCCAGAACGCAGGCACTGTTGACTTTACTAATAAGATTATTCCCCTAATGTCTACATTGCTCAGCCATTTAACACAAGTCTGCTATTCGAGATGGCAAGAGTAAACTAGGAGATTCTGATTACAAGTGTACGAAATTACAGTATCTGGCAAATAGCATGCTTTCTTAAAGATTATACAGGATATTCTATACAACTATTCAGAAGACTAAACATAGCCATAAAAGCTTGTAAGAAGCAACTGTTGCCTCGTATTTGTTCATTTACATCTTAAGGCAGACAATGGACGTAACTGCAGAATGACACTGCACAGACTATATTCCCTTTAGTAAACATGACGACTGTTAATCTTTAAAGAATGAAGATTTTTACAACACAGACTTCATTTTACACTAAGTAAAACTCCTGAATAATCAAACTTCATTTCATACTAAATAAATGCCCTGAATAATCAATATTCTGCTTAACACAAAAAGTATCTGTAAAACATAAGGCAAGTATAGTTGATAAAAATTCCCTTTCATGGAACTACACTGCTTTCATAAATGTAAAGTTCTACAACACATATTCAGATATAACAGCAGACAGTGGAGCAAAGTAACCATTGATAAGCACCCATTTATCAGTCAAATGAATATCTGATAAGGGGTAGGCAGAATAGGTTCAGGTTTGGCCAGAGGTAAATATTAAAGCAATTGAAGAGTTTTCTAACAGAATGGTAAATGTAACTGCCATTCTAACATTCTTCTCTTTGCTTATTACAACTGTACAGTGCAGCAAATGTTTAAGTTTCAGTGTTTGGTCAATAAATCTCCTTGATTCCTCCTAAGGTTCCTTAGCCCTTTTCCCACAGTTGCATTCACCTCACTTGTAAAATAAATAAATAAAATAAAATCAAGCCCTGTTCTCTGAACTTCAGATACCCAAATCTTACACAGGTCAACAATGTTTTTGTCACCACACCCATTTTTTTTTAACCTCTCAATGCCCTTTGATGAAGGGCTGTTGTTACAGTGGCTTAGGAAGAGCTTTGCTACAGCTGATATTATCTGCAGCACTAACAACAGAAACCTGAAACAACTCATGCTGCCAGCTGAGACAATACTGGGTTTCTGCAAGGCACTGCAAAATTTTCAAAATAATTTTAATCTGCATAAAAATGGACCGAAGAGGCAAAGACCAAAATAAAACCTCTGTTCTAAGAATTAAACATTTCATGTTCTCCCTGGTGCAAGAAGAAAAAATGCAAAAGAAAAGAAAAAAAGAAGGGAAGAAAAAAAAAAAGGCTGTGATCATGCTGTAATTACAGCAAAGGAGTTACTATCCTAATATAATATGATAAGCATTTTAATATTGTGCACAGTAAGCCTCAACACATGGGAGACATTAGTATTATTACTGAAAAAAAAAAAGAAAAAGCAAAAAAAAGCAGAGAACACTGATGTTTCCCCTTCTCTTTTCAAGGATGTATTTTCTGTATTCTTACACCATACTTACCCGTAGAGTATTTTGAGTATATTCTCCTATTGCACTAAGCTGCGTTATGGCTCCACAAATGCTGGCTGTTTCAACTTCTTGCCAGGGAAAAAAGCACACAGAGGAACAAGCCTCTTCTAAAGAACTAGCTTAGATCTTCTTAATACATCCATTGCTTTGCTGGAAGTTGAAGAAGGCAAGGTCAAATAGAAGTATTCAGTGCAAGTGGAAAGATTTGTTATAGTTCTTACTTGTGGAGGAGTTTATTAATTGCAGACTGAACATGTCTCCCACACAGGAGAACGCTCACCTTTCTAATGTTCCATTTCACTGAGATGAGTGATGCATTTCACCATCATTATGTATAAACTTCCCCTCTTTATGAGTATTCAGACTCCAGCAAAGTTAAAGAGGAAATTTGCAACGGTATAAAATAATTCTTTCCAAGTGTATGCTCAAATCCTGTAGAGAACAGTTCTGGGATATAATAAAAGCAATTTAGTTTTATCAAATCACTTCCATTCCACATCAAATCTACAGTCCACACGTATCACAGAAGCTCACAGTGAAACATGACGAGAAAGTAAATTCCACAAGTCTCAAACCTATTCATGTTTAACTTTCTTTTACAGAAAAATGTTAAGAATGTAGAAATAATCTCTTAAACGAAATCATTTCACTTAAATGCAATTGGCTAGGCTTCTAGAGTTAGTTATCTAACAGGTGTATTTTCTTCCAGGAATTCTCTTGCTGTGTACTCTGAACTAATACTTGCAATAATCAAAATATACCTTGCACAAGAGGTTTGAAAAAAGCTGATTTTATCTCTGTACAAGTTTCTCACAACCACATAAATGACCACCCAGTTACTAAGGAAAAAGGATATATCAGAAGGAGAAAGCATTTTGGCTCAGACCCCTCCTCCCCCCCAAAAGTGGCATTCAGATTTTCATGAAAAAGCAATCTACATGTACCTATGTGAGTTCTCATATTTTAATGAAAGACACAAAAGTCAAACATCTTTGCAAAGAACAAACAAGTGGCAGGGACTCTCATATTCAATCCAAAATGAAGTATTAAAGAAGTCGCTTCTATAGCGGCAACTTTTCCACAAATTTCAGTTGTTACAGCAAACACAGTCATTACTTATTTTTTATATTTTGATTAAAGTTACTAGACATGGAAACTTGCCTTAAAGTGAATTAAAAAAAAGTAACGACAAATATAGCCTCTTTGAGCGATATATTGCAAGATTTCTGTTTTTTAAATGGAATCTCTGCATTGATCACAAAAATCACATCTGTTTTAGAGACACTGATGAACAAAATTGTGTTAACATTGTAAGACAACACAGTATGGATAGAAAGCATTTTAACTGGTAAATGAAGGATTCCAATTTTTTCCTTTAACAGTATAGCATACTGCAGAAAGCACTGCAATATACACCACAGCTTTTGCTTCAAGATTTTGCATGTTAAATTGTTGAATCTATTCTGTTTTCCATCACTGTATGTTAAAGCTTAAGTTTATTATCTGATTATTCTATTATCAAATTTAAGTTGCAGCCAGCTTAACTCCATTATGTCATTATATCTGCAAACAATTCAAAACATTCCCAATCTGATATGCCATATTAGTTTGAAACATTAATAACAGTATTCTGCCTCATTTTTAATTCTTTTCAGAGAAATACCTACTCTACTTGGTCTTTAAAATAATTGTTGAACACTCAGTGTGTGGCTGAACAGAAATAGTGTAGAGCTAACAGCTACCTCAAGGGCTACTGATGCAATTACTGATACTAATTATAACAGAGATTTAAATTACCTTCTCTCCAAATTCATCCAGAATACAAGGATTCTGAAGCATTCCCTCTCTGCTCCTTTCACTTCAAAATAAGTATTTTTTATTCACTTCTGACTGAGATCCTTCATTACTTAATGCCTGTGCAAATGGAGAATTTGTCTTTTATACCTTTCCTTCCCAAGAGACTCAATGTTTTCAGGGCAGTGAGTGTTTTCAAAGAAATTTACTATGTACAGCCTTTCAAGTTTTAAATGTAAACCAACAAAAATCAAGGCACTCAATGTAGTTACGTATGAGCAAAAAAATTGTACTGAGAATAATAAGCCCTAATCACAAAGCAAGATTATCAGCAAGTGTGCAACTGGGAATAAGGTGAAATCGCATTCTTTTACAGCTTTGGCTTGAACTGGCCAGAAAGAAGCTTTTTAAGCATTTCAGAATTTTTTCCTTCTGGTGGTGAGGGCCATCTGTCGTGATCTGAGGAAAACAAATAAAACAACATACTTAGTTGATTGAGAAACTAGGCATTTTACTTTTGCGTCCTCCCATTGCCCAATTTCAATCACTTGAAGGGCGTTATTTTGCAGCCCATTTCTTACCAGGTATTTCTAAGGTATGGCTATATAAACTTTGGCCACCATCCACGACCATGGTTGTCCCAGTTATGTAAGAAGCAGCTGGAGACAGTAGGAAACACACTGCAGGAGAGATCTAACAAAATAATGACAATTTTAATCTTTCTTAAACTGCTGGGAATTGTTCATGCCAAAGATGCTTGTAAAAACTTCTACAGGCAAGACATAGCAACGTTTTCTATTCAGTAATGAAAACCGTAACAGTCTTAAAGCCATCTTTCCAGCCACAAACATCAAGTACATAACAGACGAAAACCAGTAAGCTCTCGAAGATCAGCATCAGATGACGAAAATCAAACAAAAGACTTGACCAGTTTATCAAAGATGCACATTCTTGGTGGAAGAGAGCTAAGTACTTTTAAGATACACTTTTTTCACATTAATATTAATTCTTTCAGTCCTCCCTGCTGGAAGTCGACCTTTTCAGGAACTAATGTCCACTATGAAACACTTCTGCTGTAAGAGGCATCTAAATTAAATTTTCAGTGTAACAGTGACTACTGGTTAAGTCTCCCACTTGGCACTACTACACGTTGTTACAAGCTTTTTTCCTTTTTAATATTCCATCACAGTGCAAAATTAAGTCATTTTTGTTCTTCATATAATAAAGTGGCTTCAAAATAAAGACACAGAAGTAGAAATATCACAAATATTCTGAAATACATTACCTCCTCAGGAACCGCTGACCTCTTGGCAGGAACCTTTGGTATGCTCTTTAACCATATCATTGTACCTTGCTCTCCATAGTTTGCAACAGCAGTTTCTGAAAATACTATTCCCTATTTTAAAACAGCATAGTGAAAATTAAGTTCTCTTGCATATGTTTAAACTGTGATCATTGTAAAATTATGAAGTTGTCATTACTGGGATTTTCTGTAGTATTAAACTATCTAAACAGCACTTGAATGCAAGTTTTTAAATTTAATGGAATAGTATAATTTATACAAGAAGGTAATTTGGTTGCTAGCCACATCTCTGTTCAAGCGCAATAATTCAGATTGTTCCAATTCTCCACTGTCACTTCAATAACTACAAAGTGGAGAGTATAAAGAAGAAACTCAAAGACTGTTTTGAAATTACAAGCATTTCATATTAGCTTACAGCAGAAAACTACAAAGCACCAAGAACAAGTTCTCAACAGTTTCTTGTAATCTGTAAGAATACTAGATTGATTTTATTGTGAATCATGGAAGCAGACAGATTTCACAGTCAGAATTCAGACTCTCCCTTACTTAGCTGCTATAGAAACAGAAAAAGGTGACTTTGCTCTGATGATTATACAGTCCAGTTTAGACTTGAGAGGGAAGATGAACGCTACAGCAACAATGGGAACGCAGGGTTACATAGATTAGTTATGACAGAGCCTTTGGGACTCTAGTTTAAGTAAGATAACAAAATTTGAATTCATCCATGGAGTACATGCTAAGATTTCTCTTCTAAAAGATCTGTGAAATGTGAGTGACTATATTTTGGGAGCTAGGAAAGTAACTCATATGTGAAACTATTTTTTTTTTTAATGCATGTTTCCCTCTCTATGTACCCATTCCCTACATGTTTTTCTGCTCCCATAAAGTAGTAACAGTTTTGTATGGTTACCACAGACCTAGTGTGTCCATAAAGGTAACAGAAGGATATAAAGTATTACTGTAACTACATCATGGATTTTTGTTACCAGCATAGTAACAAAGTTAGCAAATACTTCCGAAAGAGCCAACCACTGAGGTGTTTGCTTGTCAAAAACTTCTGATGTGCTATAAAGTATAATTAGTATGATTCATCAGGTAATTAGCATGCCTGAAAAATATATTAACATAATAATGCTGTCTTAATTACTTACTTCCCCAAGACTTGATAAATCAGAAAAAAACAAATAAACAGGAAAAAGAAGCCTGTAGATCTTAATATTTAACAAGCTTCCAGATGAGCTGGGCCTCACAGAGGCTATGTAAGAGCCACTATCTGAATGATCATCACACATCTGCCATTAGCATTCTGTGCTATGCCAAAGAAAGCGAGCCAGATGTTTCAAGACAAAAGGCACAAGAAGTTATACAGACATCCTACAAAGATAGTAGAAAGATCTTCCTAGGGACCAGTTAAACACATCTGACACTTAACTATACTGTGAGATAAGATAAATTCTGAATGTAGAAGTAGCTGGACAAAGTTTACTTTTCCTCTTTTGTTTTCAAGGGAGTAAATGTGCAAAATAAACTGTGGTTAAGAGTGAAGATTACACAAATTACAACAGATCACACAATCTCAAATGTCAAAGCTAGGGCTTCTATATAACCTCTATAACTGCAGCACCATGCACTAGAAAATATAGCTGCTTTTTCCATACAGTTATTTAAAACAACTGCTACACACTACCTACTTCCTCAGAAATGTGGCAGGCATATTTTAGCTGACCTGTATAGTGGTTTCCTGTCTGCATATATTTGATAAGAAAAAAAATCAGAACATATATTTTTACATATAATTTCTTTGAAAGACAGTCCACTCCAAATACAGTCTTGTTATGCCTAAAACTAATCTAACTTAACATGTAGAAGACAAAGTAAAAGACATTATGTGACACATTCAGAGATTTTCAAAATAATTTTGTAAACACAGGTAGAAACCATCAGCATACATGAACGTCAAATAGAAAAAGTTTTGTGAACTCAGAAATAATGTAATCATTACTGAAACACAAAGCATTCGGTAATTTTATGTCAAGGGTTTGTAAGACAGGTCACCAACTCCTCCCAGGTATCATTTCATTAAGTTAGGAAAAAAAAGCAAAAGTGCCTAGTTAAAGAGAAAGCAGAAGAAATTATATCCCAGATCTCTGGCTCGTCATCCAAACAGTACAAAACACTCTCAAATGACCTGAAGAACATAGATGAGGGAATTATAAATAAATAAATACACAAATAATCCACAAACAGTTACAGGCTATAGATTTTAAAATCCCCTTTTGGTCTGAAAGTTTTAACCATGAACATGTATGATGGCTAAGTTTAATCGGATCATTTGCCATTACTTACAGGAGCAACGCTGTTGATTCTTACTCCGCTGTGGGCCCATTCTAAAGCTAAAGTCTTGGTTAGGTTATTCACTGCAGCTCTTGCAGCTCCTGTATGCCTAATGAGAAAAGACAGCAAAAGCAGCATCTCTTTCCTCAGCCAACTGTGCCCAATGTTAATTCTACCGCAGCGGCACTAGGGTAGTCAGAGTAGCTTTCTATGGCTGGACCAACCATCTGAGAGAGAGGGAGAGAGGGATTTTCTAGTTTGTAAGTTTGACCACAGCTTCACAGTTTAAACTATAGTTTAAACTAAAGCTATGCTATGATTTCCTGTCATTTCTGGAAATACTTATCATCTCTTCTGCAATGTGACATGAGGTCAGCTACATTCTACTGCAGAAGCAGGCTTAATAAAACAGAAGTTCAAACTGTGTAAAACTACGAAAGGTAGGCTGCACAGGTAAAGCAACACTTGGAAGGACACAGGAAGGTCTGAAAAATAGTTTAGATCTTTTGACAAACATGATTAAAATAAGCCACGATTCAAAAATTACTGTAAGTGGATGGTGCTAGAGACTATACTCTAGGTAGGAGATCACCCTAGGCAGAGTGATCTCATACACCTTGCTGCTATAGGAAACTAATCTGAAATGATTACAAGCTTGAACAAACGCAGACAAAATTACTGCAATGATGAATAGCAGACAGCGGGACTCAGAGAAAACTAATAGAGTTTAGTTCCTTTAGCCTAGCAAAACCGACTTAGAGGAGATAGATACAATAGCTTCTCAAATACCAGGAAAGGAATAAGAGAAACTTAAGAAAAATATAAGAAAATCCAACTTATTTATATGTTTAGGCCAGAAATAAATAACCTCCAGGCACACTATGAGCAAACAAACTTGACTAGTTTTACATTCAAAAATTAATACTTACGAAAAACTGTATCAGGTGATTTTTGGCATGAGTGGTGGCTGGACTTGTAAAGGCAAGCCCTTTTCAATAGTACATTTCTAAAACAAGTGTCAATTCAACAGGAATTTAACTTGAAAGTAGTTTTGTCTATCCACCTACATCCACACACAACAGTTATTTGGGAAACTTTTTTCACTGTTATTCAGAATTAGGTTTTTTGTCTCTTAGTTCAACTCTCAAATATAGCTTCAGCCTATTTGCCTTGACAATTCAACCAGACTTAACCAGAGTGGAGAAACTCAAATAACTGTAGCTTCAGCACCACCCTGTGGATCTCTAAATTTATTTTATCTTGCCAAGAACAAGCTAGTGAGAAAATATTCTGCTGTTCTTAAAAATTTTAAATTTTGAAAACTTTCAACCCTGAATCACGACAAAGAGAGGTAATGTAACATCTGCTCAAATTCTATTTTTATATTTTCTTCAATAGAAATTCAATTTCAAAGTTAAAAGGAAAAAGTAGTTTCAAAGAAGAAATTCAGATTTTTTCCAATAAAGAAACTGTCAAAATTTCCTTTGAAAAGAAAATAACTGGAACAATTCATTTTCTGAGCATTATTTCTGTTTCAACAAATTGGAAATTTTTTGGTGGCAAAGTTTCAAATCGGAAGACTCCTGCTTACCTCCATTTTGAGGGTAAAGAAATTTGAACAAATACAGTACACATACAGATACTGAGAGGATGCTGCATTTTCATGCAGACAGCTGTGATAATTTGTGTCAGTATAAAAGAACTACAAACGTGGTAATATGTTCGTACCCATGAGCCTTCTCCCAGTCAAGAAAGGAGCAGAGCAAATAGAACTGATTCTCTGCATCAGAGACCTTCTCGAAGATGTGACCCGAAGGATGAAGCCAAAACCTGGTAACATACTAGAAATGTTCCTCTTATTCCCCTACTCTCAGTTCAACGCCCATAACTCATTACACCATCAAGACCTGTAAACTGACAGTAGAAGAGGAAAACCCTCCAGAAATTTGGAGAGAGAACAAGTAAAGGTTACATTTCAGTGCAACTAGTCCCACTAGCATACCATTTCCAGTGAAAGCGTCACTGCCAAGTCTTGCTTCATAGTTTATTACAAAAAAGTTGACAGAGACCAGAGATGTCATTTACTCCTGTAGGCTCTACTGAATTAATAAGAGATCCCGACACATACAGCCAAGCGATACTATTGCTCTCTCTTGACCTAACTACTTATTTCTATACTCTGCTGCTACCCAGTGCACACCTGCCTAATATGAAGTATTTAGGAGCAATTAGTACTTCTAGGGGAAAAACACAGGAAAATGTAAAAATAAAATATATATTACGACATTCCAGGAAACCCATTTCTCACGGCAGCAGTAATGTTGACAATGACTCCTCCATGTTCCTGCATCCAGGCATTGTACACTGTATGAAGGAGGAAGATAACCTATAAATATCAGAAGAAATGCATACAAATGAACTTGCTAACTGGAAGCCAAATTCAGAGTCTTAACTCCAATGACACTACACATTTCCTGTGCAGATTTAGATAAACAATCTGCTCTTTGTACCATAGCCTCACCACTGGATTGGTGAGATAATAGGTGTGGCCCGGGCTCAATGTTTGTCAAGAAGCCTTTTGGTGGAAATCAAGATTTCATGCGTCCACGTAAATTACTTTCATTTCCACATTCCCAATGCTGTCTGAGAATCACGTATCATGCTTAAATTTAACTTTAAATTTACATTCCTGATGGGAGAGAAATCTTCTCCTGTGTTACACATGAATACAGCCACAGAAGTTAAGTGGTTTTCCTATAGTCTTTTAAGTGAGTATTCAAGCCAACTGACTCCCCAAACCTGGCCTTAACCAGAAGATCATACTAGCCTAAATGTTTGTTTGTATATAGGAACAAATGTAATGTACAGTTTAATGTAAACTTTGGATGAGATTCATGAAAACAAATATCCACTGTCAGATAAGTATGTGAAAAAAGAAGGTAAGGGAACTTCACATTTCTTGTCTTCTGGTATTGCTGTAAAAATCAAAACAAATAAACAAAAAAAGCTTAATGTTCAGTCCTTACCTGCTTTGCAGCAGTAGAAGGTCCCTGTCAGATTTGTGTCTATCACAGCATTCCAGCCTTTTGCACGGATGGCTTCAGAAGGACTTGCAAATTGGCCCCCTCCATTATTTACCAGGAAGTCAATCTTCCCATGCAGACTCAGCGTAGACTTCACCAAAGCTTCTACCTGAAACAATTTTGTTAGTGTGGTATGCTGATTAAGCTATATATCCAATTTCATTCTCAGACAGTATTTTCTCTCTCATATCCTTTTCACACATAAAAAGGAAGTACCAGATTCAGAGAGGCTGGAAGGTGACAGGTTTAGTCAGCCAAGAACGATTGGGCTGAGTCCATGTTTACTTAGGAAATCTTCCTGGAATAATGCAGGTGCTACATAAAATACCAGCACTGAAAGAAGGGGATTTAAGCCACTGAAGGTCTGTAAAAACAAACACACACAAAAGCCTGCTACTTAAGACCTACATAGAATCTCCTGACATTTTTAACAAGAGTGGGGGTGTTCACATGAGATGCTGGAAGAGTTCCATGTAAGGTAGCTACTGGTTTTTTCATCTGACCCATATACCTGAGCATTTTAAATAGAAAACATGTCATCTTGTGAAGTTTTAACATTCTTCTCTAGAAGATTTGTACATTCACGAAAGGTCCAACATACGAGTTGGCAACAGCCAATCTTCTTACGCAGACCAAGGAGGTTAGTTTGTTACCCTAGAAAACATGAACACTAAAAAGTGCTGGAAATACTACAAGTTGTCTTCTTTAGCAAAAGACAGGTGAATATTTGACTAAGCAGATACCTTCTGTCTATAAGCACGATGAATACTTACGATTAAGAGCACTGCCTGGCACTATTTACCTTTGGGTATTCTGAGAAGGTAGTAAGAGCAAATAGCAACAGACATTTTATTCACTCACTCAAAGAGCTGTAAGTGCAGAAAAGGAGTGGCTTAAGTGCACATGGAAGGAAAGAATCTAAACCTAGCTCTAACACTGACCTAATCTGAGCTACAGGCTGCAAGCTAAGCCTTTTGCATTGTCTTCTGTTTTGGAAGTACAGCAGTTTTGCCACACATTCACACTAAACACAAGAGAACTTCTGGAGGGGAATGTATTTCAAAGCACTCAAAGATTTTAAGATAACAAAGCTGATGTATTTTTCCTGTTACAAATCAGTAATAAGAACTCTATAGCAACTGCTTAAAAATTTAAACTTTATCTCAAGAAATAGGGGAAATGGGAGAACATGACTGTTTCCTGCTTACGTTACCTATCATAACTAGATACCATGCATCAGTTATTCCTACTCAAGCATACACAAAAAGTTAATCTAGCATCTGTGGTCAAAGAAAACACAGACCAAAAAAACCCCAAAAAACAAACAGCAGGAGCGATGCTGCTTCTGAAACGGATTTGATTAGGGGACGGATATCAGTCAGCCTTCCTCTGTATTGAGTTAGCAGTAGAAAACATCAGAAATAAAAAAACAAGCAATGCATGATCTGTATTTCACCAAGAGCATCACCAACTCAGTCTCATAAATAGCTGCCTTACAGCTTTTGCTGCTACCAGTTCCGGGTGGTTTAACAGGATAGTGTGGCTCCTGTAAGGATGCATCTCTCTGAAAAAGAAAATCTAAACAAACATATAGTGACTGAAGCCTGATTGAAAAACTAATGCCTGTTGAGATAAAATGCCTTAAGAAAATAATTTTGATACCTAAATCACCATCTTTAAGTTCTGAATGTCATCTTATTCCTCACATTAGTCACTGTAGCTTGTGGGATCTGAGGAAAAAAAAAAAACACCAAAAAAACCAAGACATCTGTGACAGCAGTCCCAAACCCATGACTTGTGAGAACCACCATGCCACAAAGACTTCCAGGTTTTCTCACAACCAGAGGAAAGCAAGTTATGTCTTGCTAGGCAGCAAAAGTTATGCTTTGCTCAGCAATATCAAACTCTTCTCCCTGTCAGCTTGAGAATCTTGCTCTGAATATTGTTCTCCATAAGTCACTGAAGTATGGGCTCATTTATGGAAGAGAAATGGTTTCAGTACAAGGAATGTTTGAACAGACTAAGGCTATTCAGGCTGGGGGGTGGGAAGGGGAGAGAGAGAGAAAAGGGAAAATGCTAAGAATTGTAAAAAAAAAACCCAAACCCAACAAATTAACAGAAGAAAAATCCACAAAATCCACTGAGAAGAGACATCACAAGCAAGTTTTCAACAGGTAGACAAAACCTGCTATGACATATCAGTTCAAAGTGGTTCACATGTTGTATCTTAAGAAACTCTGTTGTTCCTACTTGTCGCGCCATATTCTCAGAGCAATAAAAAAAAAAAACCCCAAATGCATATCAGTTCTGCTTTTCGAAAGCCAGCAAGCAGGCTCTCCAGTGACAGCTCAGATGGCTCCAACTGTAGCAATCTTCACAATGTCTTCTGTGTTGTAGAGAAAGCATCATTGCAGTGCTTCTCCCAGTTACAGTAAACATGGTGACAGCAGCCAGCAGCACATTGAGAAAGAGGGTCTGGTAGAACACATTTAAATCACAGTGAGAACTAAAGATTCCTTTCTATTCCTAAATATTCAAAATCCACATGGAAAGAACTTCATAAAAAAGCTACTAAAGACTCTCTCTGGAAGCAAAGCAAAATTGCACAAGGTAGAGCTAACAGTTTAGGATGTTCTTCTGAAAAAGACTGAGAAGAACAAAATCAGGCACTTCAGACATAACCAGAAGACTGGAGCTCTTCAATAAGGACCTTTTTTGTGTGACTGCAACTCAAAAGTGTTATACAGTAGCACACTTTCACAGATAACTGGGATGACAGTACTCGCTGACACAGAGAAAAGGGACAAATGTCCACATGCATTCACAGGTCACCTTGAACTTGAATAAAACTCAACAAGCAAACTACCCACTACAGAGTGTTAGAGATTTGCTATTTGGGGACTAGAACTAGTAGGTATTCTTGCACAGTGATAACAGGTATTTTTACTTTGTGTTATTACTGTGTTATTTTAAAGTACGACAATAGGAATCTCTTACCCACAGTTCCCCACCAAGCCACAGCCTTCCACTACAGGCTTCACACAGACAGGCATTAAGTATTTATAAACCAATTGGGACTATGCTAAGCTATAAAGTTTATTAGCAAAGAAAAGCTACTAGTAAACTCAGACACAAGGTAGGTACTGTATTGAGTCCGTCTCAAGGAATCTTGTTTGTCAGATGTCCAAGTGATAGGTTTTACCCTCGGGGTCTGGTCCAGCAGCAGTTGTTGCTGGAGCTCAAGTATGGAAAGGGGACACTGTGTACAGAATTCTGAATTGCTGATTCCAAGAAGAGCAGTGGCCTACTAGAAGTACAAGGTTTTATCTTCCACGTACCTAGATATGTCTTCTACTTATCTAGATGCCATCAGTTAAAGAAATCTTTGTCCAGAGCATATAGCACAAAGGCTTTACAAGGGTAAAAGGTTCCTCATGTCTTTCTTCCCCCATCAATAGATTTGCTGTAGCTCATTTGACACACACAAACACATGCTTCCCCTTCCCAACACCTATGAAGATAAATAGAAAGCTCTTTTCATAATGGAAAACGGATGGGGTCTCCCTCCTCCACTCTGGCCACCATTACATTGAGGCATTGGAATTTATTAATTAGTTCCTTTGATTTTGGAAAAAGAGCTTGGTTTGAAGAGACACACACATAGAGCTGCCTGGCCTGCATGTCAGCAAGAGCAAACTGACCTGCTCTTGTTATATTCAACACATTATGTGAGCAGTGCTAGAAAATATACAAAGAGTTAAAATTACTTCAGTTTCATAATCACTAAGAAGCAATATTAATCACTACATACACTCCAGACCACAGGACAAGGAACAGGTGCACAATCACTGCTTCAGGATAAGGCCTCATGAAGACAGAACATAGAAACCTCAGGTGCTCTCACCAGCATCCCAGAACCCTCAACTCTTCCATCTTTAAAAACAAAACAGGTTTGTTATCCTTTACAAAACACTCAATGGAAAACTAGCCAAAAGCAGCAGCAAATTCTTGACAGAAATAAGCCTGACAGGTTATGCAGTGGTTGAAAATCCTCCATCAAGCAAGATTATTTCTTGCACATTAAACGAAAAGTAAGCTTTGCTAGAAAGCAAGAGGGCCTCTGAGAATGAAGATTAAGAGACTTAAAAATGTGAATTCATTAAGCTATTCCCATGATATCTGCCATCAAGCTTCTGCAGCAGTTAATTCACTGCACCTTCTTTGACTCTTCCTAGGCCAGAAAGAGCTCTAACATATGGCACCATATGATGAGGGATGAATCTTCTAATGCTTGAATTTCACAGATCCAAACCAGGGCACACAAGACGAATGAGCCATGTAATCTTCAAAGCAGGTCAGTTACTTTAAGATTTGCAATAAGAGGCAAAAAAAAAAAAAAAATCATCTGGCAATTTTGAAAGCACTTTCATCTTTCTTAGATCTCCTCTATTCAAAGTTCCTCCTTCCAGTTTGCCTGATTATAAAATTAAAACCAGGACAAAATTCACAGGGGCCTTTAGAGAAATGCAGAACAACTGATGGAGATGGAGGGATGAAAAAAAAAAAAAAGGCATGCTACAGTAAGAATAGATAGCTTGTTCCTACAGGTGATCACGGTGGCTTCCTTCAAGAGAAAGATTTACGCTTAGAAAGGTTTCAGTGAGATGTCAGAGAAGGACATACTAAATGAATGATGTAGTTCTTCAGGAAGCTTCCTGGGCTTTGTAGCTTGTGATGGATTGGTTCTGACATCTAAGGAGGCTTGAACTCCTAAGTTTTTTCCCTTGTTGAAACATTTATAAGGTCTTTCTCCTTCACACATTCTTTGGTACCTGGTAGAAGAGCTGAGAAAGAGGATGTAAGGACTCAAAGGGAATACTTGTAGAGGCTGTCCTCTCAACCCACCAATGTGCTTCCATGAATTTCTGAGGTAAATACTCTTCACCCATACTAAGCTGAAACCAGACAATGAGTTGTAAAGCTATTAATGAGCAGCATACAGAGCCAACACAGTTGTACAAGTCTTGTTTCTTTCGGGAGGGAAGCCAAAAGTTTAAATGCGCTCTCACCCCATCTTCCACTGTAAACAGGAAACTACTCCTGTATTTGTGAAAAAGCTGAAGTGAGTTATATTGCTGTGTTGCCTCTACTCAAGATTTACCTCCTAGGCTAGAAAAATCCTTCACTACATCTTTTACTGATCCCTTTTCCTAAGACTCCAAGTCCCAGGCACTACATTTTAGGTTAAGAATGAGACAGGTTTTGAAAGTGGATGTACAACGCTCTTTTAATAGAAGTAAAAGCCCAAAGATACTTTTCCTCTAGCCTCCGCAAGACAATCAAGTGCAAATTAGAAAAAAGTATTCACCATTGCTGCTCTTAGCAAATATAACAAATAAGGAATAGTGAGCAGTGAGTTGTGGAAAATCTGCCACATCCCTCAGTTCTAAGTTCAGCCAGTTTTTAGCAGTGTAAGTTATTGATTGTTAATTTAAATTTATCTAGCTTCAACTTACAAACACTAAGCACCTAAGTGTAAGGAAGTGCTATCCTCACTACAAATTTAAAAGCTGAAAATGTGATCCACGCATTTCTAGTCCAATAGTAATTTTAGAAATTGGATTTAGCAATCTTTGAGAATCTCAGCATTAAAGAACTAACGGAGGAGGACAGATCCAGAAAAACAAGAGCTAAAGAACAAAAATCACAGGATGTCTCTAACCAGTAAAAATATCTGGTCTTAGAGATGGGCATCTGGAATGGATAAATATTTGTTTAGCAGGTACACTTAAGTTCTTATGTTAACATGCAACAGAAATTGCATTCCTTATTCAAAACTTCCACAAAAGGCTTATGAAATTTTCATAGTGATTTTTTTCTAAATAGAACAGAAGAAGTAAGAGCAGTTGGAGAACTGAAGTGAGTCAAAAGATAAGACTGAGTCAATGACTGAAAAATTCAAGAATGGCGTTTCATCTACCTTATTCTTCTGAACCCTCTCTTCAATAGATATGGATATGAAATGACAATGGTTTATGAGAACTTCCACTGGCAGGAAACACCTGATAGAGGCTTCTCCAATATCGTATGAAAAGTTCTAAGAAAGTTCTGGTGCGTCTGTAAATGAGTAGATCTTAAAACTAAACTGGACACAAGACAATTCTATGATGAAACTGCAGGACAATAGCAAAGACAGAAGTTTCTCCAAGTATCAGCATGGCTACTAATAACACAGAATAATGTCTAAACACGTTACACAGCACCATAAAAAAGGCTTTAAAAGGACCTTCAAAAAAGTTGCCAAAGCCATCTAAGACTGTTTTGTCAAATATGTATTTAGCCACACTTAATAAACAGGAAAAAAAGAAGGAATGGTAGTTTGTTCAGTGAAGGTCACCTCACTTCACTATCCAAGCCCTCTACCATCTCACAGAACACTGCAGTTCCCACTAAATCATTTTTAAACTGATGCAGAAACGAGATTCACCTGCAGAAGGTTATTAAGCATGCCAGAGTACTTTCTGCAAGAACAGTGATGTGAAAGAAAGCTTAAGGCTTTTCTCTTTCTTTACCTCTTTTCTTTCCTATAGCTTTAATCATGTAAGTTGCCCTCTGACATCTGTCATAACCTATTATATCGCACTGCTGATGCTATTAAATACAAACCTAAAATTCACTGGTAGGTGAAATGACATACTGCACAGCCCCAGGGTTCATCTCCTTCAGGAGAGAAAGTTTAAGTATATCACTATAAATATTTTATGGCACGAGCTGTTGCATGAGGGAAGAATTTTATTTTTTATTTGCTTTATGGTTGTATATTAGGATATTTCCAGAATCTACATCGTTATTGAAGGTCATTAATATTTCTTTAAGTTATGCTAGAATTTAGCAAAGACTTTGAAACGTTAAGAAAAATGTAGCAATCAGTGGTTACCGGAATATTTTTTAGCTGTCTTCAATAAGTTAAAAGTCCAACCTGATGCTGGACTTTTAAATGTTTAATTACACAGATCAAAAAATTAGGAGGTAAATGCAGACTTCTGAAGAACATGGATTAAATACTTTTGCTCTTGATCTTCCATTTTTTGTAATATGAAGAAAAAAGAAAAAATTCAACTGGGATAGTAATAGAGTTTGTAATTGTAACCGAAATTGTAACCAAAATTTGAAACATGGCTAAAAATAATAATATGTATGGGTTTTTTTTTCCTTTAATACAAGCAAAACTAACAATGCAGGGCACTTGTGTCAAGTCACAAGTGTTGAGATTCCGTGCTATGACTTCCTGTTTGAAGCAACTTTTCTGAGGTCTCCATCTTCACAATTAACACCCCCTCACTGCCGTCACAGAAATGTGACACGGAACGATGCTAAGTGGGCTCCGGCTTGGCTGTAGAACATGCCAGTTCCAAGGCCTGCTTCTCCCAGAAATATCTGAAATACGTATGCATCATCAGAAAAATATTTGCAATTACAAATGCTTTCTTGCGTAGGTGGCTAACAAATGGTCTTCCCTTGGAAAGCACATTTTTATCTAGATCAATTTAATAGTGCTTTACTGCACCTGTCCCCTGATCTAAGCCACTGTTGAGAGGGACAGAGAAGACCTTTGGAGATCTGAGAATTTATATATACAATATGCTTTTGACATGTGAAGCCCCAGAACAAGATCACTAGTCTTTACCTCATCTTCTTTGCGGATATTGCACTGTATAGGAGTCACTTTGGCAGGACTCATAGAAGAAAATGTATTATTCAGTTCTTCTGCAGCAGCTTTTAATCGGTCAAATTTACGAGAGGCAATAACAACGCTGCAACCTGTAGAGACAAAATGAAACATCCTTCAGCTAACATAGTTAAAATTACAGTTATGCTAGTTTTTTAATAACATCATGGAGATATCTTGTAGCATGTGTGTTTATTAGTCACTGACTAGAAGATACAGTGTTGAAGTTCTTGCAAGAGAGAGAAATGACTGATGTCAGGTGCTTTTTAGCAACAAGATCCCACTGTGCCAGGAAAAGAGCAATCAAAAAAATGTCCACAAGTTCCCTCTCCTTCCTGCAGAAGGGAAGATAGCCTGTGAGTTGCAGAGTCAGCAAAACAGCTTTCAGACATCACTTTTTGCTGCCTCTGCTCACAGCTGCCTCATTTATCAATTACGCGATTTAAAGATGTTTCAGCAGGTCTTGATCACAAAAAAATGCTTGCTAAAACCACAAAAATACTCTTATTGTATGTCTGGCTGTAATTTTGACTAGCGGTGAGCAAATGTAATGCTCTGCTTTTTAACCCTACAGAGTCTGAAGGAAAGGATGATAGCCTCACGAGATTAATTCCTATCTGCAGGCTACAGACAGCAGACACAGAGGCTTCCCCGTGGCACTGCCACATGCTATAGAATCCTAGCTCAGAAAGGAGAGGAAAAAACTAGGCAGGACTCAAGCCTTCTGTTTTTTTCAGCATTTGGTGGCAGAAGGACTCATTCTACAGAGCAAAACAATGCGGGTGTCAAATTAATGGCAAGCACTCACACTACAACCAGTCTAGTCTCTTCTATCACAGCAGTGGACTCAGGACAGCTTTAAGGCTTCAGCAATTGCTACTACATAGACTAAAGCAGATCACACCAAATTAATTCCTAGTGCAAATCCAGTAGGCATGCAATTTCACATTATGGATAAGCAAATTACTAACTTCCACTGCCAAGCAGACAAGGAGGTCTTGCTCCCAGTTCCCCCCTTCCATAATCTCAGCATCCCAGTAGAAGGCATCCCTTCCTCATACTAGCTCTGCTGCTCATCTGCTTTAACACAAACCAATTCAACATCCTCAACCAGCCAAAAAAGATGTGAACATCTTGCCAGGTGGTTTTTTTCTTTGTTGCTATTTTACTGAGTGGAATTTGGCCTCTCATGTGATCAAACAAACACCAGAATCAACTCAAAATAACTAGTGGGAGTAAAGAGCAGCAATCTGTTCATTTGGCTCAGGCTGTCTTGTGAAACTATACATAAAACTGGAAAAAAAAAAAAAAAAAAAAAAAAAAGGCAGTTGAATTCTTCCAGAAGGAAGTGCTGCAACTACATATCCCTAGGAATGGGAGCTTCACCTTCAATCAGTGGCCATATTAAAACAACACATATAAAGATATTAGTCTCTGAGGTCTCCTGATTTTTTAAATTAAGAACTCCAGTCATTTGCACAGCCCCTCACTAATGCAGAGTAGAGTTCATAAAATGGTACTCGCAATTACTGATTAACACAGAATAGTAAATCACAGTAGCACAGTTATATTTATCAACTTAAGTGCTTATTACACACAGCTACAGAATAAGGTCCAGTTTTGCTAAATAAGCTAATCGGGGAGGAGGAGATTCTAACTCACTGAGGAACACTTGGTACCTACGGTACAAGCTGACACCACTTATTTTTCCTCACAAAGAATGACCAGACCATTTCCTGACAGGGTCGGGGGGAAAAGGGCACAAGTTTCCAGGTGAAAGGTTTAAATCTGTCCAGAAGGCTTCAAAGGAGACTGGTTATAAAAACAATGTACATCATGACTGGCATTCTCTGTCCAGCCAGCCCCCCTCCAAAAAAATACAGCCTGAAGCGCAGGGTATACGTTGAAATAGTTCCCGGTCATCTTCTTGTCAGGAGTAGCCAGCAAGTCTGCAGGTAAGGAAGGTTACTCAGACAGACTTAAGCCATAGCTCTGTCTTCATTTTCTCACACGTGCTTTGTAGATTTGCAGCCTTGTTTACTATTTAGGGTGTTATAGACACACACTTCCGTTATTTGTATTTTCCTTGAGAAAAATAATGCAGATCAAATTAAGTACAATTTTAAGGTAACTAGGTAACGTGATCAACCAACAGTGTAATGATGCTTAAAAAGCACCTCTTTAAGGCAGCATGTAAGGACACCTTAAAAAAATGCTTAGCTCCCCAGTAATACATAGGTAGAAGAAGTAGCCCTCACTTCGGCTCCACAGCGCAAGCGGAAAGCTGGGGCGACAAAGGCCAGGAGAGGCAGAGATGTCTCCCAGCACACAGTCTTAACAAAGAAAGCTCTTTACTATGCAGTGAAATGGCGTGGTGCACATTTCAACAGTGCAAATCACAGGGAGTGTGGCACCGTAAGGCATAATGCTAGTGCTGGTATTTTGAAGACAGTGAATCCAGTCATGATAATAAACATTATCTGAAACCAGTCTGATGCCAATGATCACTAACACTTATGTTGAAACCTGCAGAAAAGGTGTTGCAAGGTGGATGACTCAGAAGACTGCCTTTCACTTCAGATTTTACCACTTCTCTGTAATCAGCGTGGAAAGAAAACCCACAAAGCACATGCTGAAGATATACTTTAACTTCAGGACATTTCTGTCACAAGCACTGAGAGAGAAGCACCATTTCTCTAAGCTAACTGTGCAGACAACAGTTCAAAACCATACTACTCCGTAAGACTCAGTTCAACCAGATAAATCCTCCAGTTAAGCAAGACGAAAACTCACTTAAGAGGGAGTATGAGAGAAAGGGTCTGGGTTTAATATAACCTCACTTTGACCGCTGTATTTAAAATAGCACATCTTTGAAGTGCCAGCAGGTCAAAAGACACAGCCCCACATCAACCTCACCTCGTTCTCCTCTCTATTCGCTGACGCCTGACAACGTCCCACCCATAAACTCCTCACAGACCCGCTGCCCGAGCACAGCCTACCCCCAAAACGCACCACAACCCCCCGAGCACTCCTTGACACCCGCCCCCTCAAACTCCATCCCCCGCCTTCACCTCA